GGCTGCTTAACCTGGGGAACACAAAATAGCCATGTAAAGAGTTGTGGCTGGTTCCATCTCAGAACTGGCCCAATTGCTTAATGGGCCCAAAGTTGAAGTTTTCTTCGGATTCTGGAAGTGAATTCGGAGCAGCTCACAACTTTAGTTAAACACTGTTAAAGACTGTGTTAAGTAGCTTTGGCCTGTGTTAACCCAATCAGCTTCACGTGTTGTTTAGCTGCCATGGAGCTTATTCACTGCCTGTTTGTGCTAAGTGGTCAGTGTAGATATACCCCAATATGAGAGTTCTGTGTTTTTCTTGTGCATTTGAAGCATGTTATTGCTTTAAATGAATAATCCTACCTAACCATTGTACACAGATGTTAGAAAACCATATTTTAACCCCAAATTTGTTAGTCTAGATCAGGAATGTCAAACTCATTTTTATCAAAGACCACATCAGCCTTATGGTTGCCTTCAATGAGCCATTAAATCCATGGATGGAGAAACTGTGGATACAGAGCACAATATTTAATTTATTTACAGAGTTATTGGTGCTCTTTCCTTTGTACCCAGTTTGGGTCCCCAGGTGTTATTGAATGACAACTCCCATCACTTTTGATTATCCACCATGCTACCCAACAGCACTTATGGCTTTAACATCATATACATAAACCTTGCATCTAAATTAAAACCTCATTATCTTGAATAAACAGAACAAACTGTGGCCTTCCAGATGTTACTGTATCACTGTAATATAACTCCTGTCAACTATAGTCATGTCTAACGATGAGGAATATAGGACTTGTAGTCCAATGTAAAATGATACATGTGCTCTACATCATTAAAGGCACAAGCAAGAACTTTTTAAGGAGAAGCAGAGTGCCTCACACTCTTGTTTTTATTGCCCAATTATAGTACCATATGTTTCTCCCTGTTGAATTTCATTTTGTTAGTTTTAGCCCAGATCTCTAACCTGTTAAGGTCATCTCGGATTCTGATCTGTAATAGCTATCTGACCCAATTTGGTGTCATCTTCACATTTGATAAGCATGCCTTCTATTTCATTGTTCAAAATCAGTGACTGAACATTGTCTATTTGGTTAAAGGCACAAACAGAGACTTCTGGTTTTCAGAAGGTGGCAAGAGTGGGAAAGTGCAGCACTAATAAATAAAACACTAAATAAACAGATTGTCAGATATGAAGAAAAACTTTTTTGAGGAGATAACATAGAAAACCTAGCCATAACTGTACCAGGGCTAGAGAGAATAAGCTACTAAGATATAAGTAGGACTAAACTCAATGGGATTTTTCTTCTGATCTGGAATGTGAAAATGTATCTGTCTTATGTTCTCCCACCTTCAGTTTTTTAAATGTCAAGTTCCTTCTGCTCAGAATATGAATGAATTTAAAAACATTGAAGAAATGAAAATTTCTTTCACTTGCACTAAACAAGTTTAACAGAGGGAGTGAATCCAAATTGTGGGGAGGCCCATGCCCTATAACACTGGTTCTCTACCTGTGGGTCCCTAGATGTTTTGGCCTTCAATTCCCAAAAATCCTAACAGCTGATAAACTGGCTGGGATTTCTGGGATTTGTAGACCAAATCACCTGGGGACCCACAGGTTGAGAACCACTGCTCTAAAAAAGAGATGAGGAGCCTCTCAGGAAAAAGTGACAACAACTCTAATTTAGCAGTAACATGATAAAAATACAAAGAAATTCAAAAGCATTCAGAGTTTGGTCATGGATGGATGAATCTGTGAGTTTTCGTTTCTCCTGCATTTATTTTCATAAAATCATAAGTTCTTTCCAGCCTGGATATTAACAGCATTCGTGCATTTTGGTCGATTTGGTAATAAGTTTTTACAAAATTTTTACTTTGGAGCACACATGCAGATTTGTACTGACCACGAGGTTCTTGATTTGAATTTTGAGATCAGTGACATGAATCATTCTAAAGCACAATTATCTTTAACAAGCAAAGAAAGAGGTTAACTAAGATATTCAACTTTGGAAACTTGGCACTGCTGTTAATGTTCCTAATAATTTATTCTCTTGCTGTTGCTGCCTCCTCCTCTTCCAGGGATATTGGTGCCTCATTATAATCATAGCTATAGTTACACCTAGTAACATCACATTTTTACTCTCTCTATTTTAAGAGCTATCTCTTATTTACAAAATACCTTGGAACAGAAAAAATGTTTCAGGGCAAAGATGTGACATAGCAAGCTCAAACGACAGATACCATTCACAAGTCAAGCATGGGCTAGAAGCACCCGCATTCTAAAATAGAAACAAGGTAATAGGCCCAGTGAATAATTCATAAAACAGCATAATTAAACTGAGGTGAGGGAGGAGGAAGAAAGGAAAAGAGGTTGTGACTTTGTCACAAAGGACATTTAAACTTTCCACAGCAACCAATAAAATCATTTTCCTCTGCCACTTTTAAATATTAACTGATTAAACCAGTAGCATCCACAAATGGTCCAAACTACAACTAGTATCAGTCTTCAGTAGGTCTTCGTTATCCCACATACTGCTTCATTGCTTACAAATTGTGCAAAATTATTCTCAATCGGATCAATAGGTAAAACAATAAAAAGCAAATGGAAATCCTAAGGCATTGCTGGAGGAAAAAGAGAACAGTCTTTCAGTCTTCAAATGATTTGATTATAGAATTTGTGGATGGAGGCAGATGGAAACAAAGAAACAAAAATGGCAACAGATGGCAAACATACTTGTAAATATCTATATACATAGGAAAAAGAAACAATTGTCTAAAATAACGTATGTGTGCCTTCAAGCTATCTGTTATGTTGACTTATGGCAAGCTGCCTTTTGACTTATGGCAAGGAATACTCAGAAGCGGTTTTGCCAGTGCCTTTCCCTGAAATATTTTCAATAGAACCTGTTATTCACTGGTGGTCTCCCATCTAAGTATTAACCAGGGCTGATCCAATTTAGATCAGACAGTGCCTGGTATCTCTTAGTATCTGGATCCTCTGTGGGTACCAAAATTCATTTATATACAATGAAATAATAAAGTGGTGTCTCATATATAAAATGGCAAAAATCAAAGTTTGCCTTTTCAATTTTTTGGTGGGTAGGAATATTTCCAAACCACTTATAGTGGAATCCACAGATGCAGAATTGGTAGCTATGGAGGGGCAACTGTAAAGAAACACTAAAACAGGGAGAAAACAGCATCTCATTGTGAATCCTAGGATCAATAAACATATGCCTGTCTCATTCCAACATTTTATTCATGAGGAATAATTTTCTGGTTACCTCAAACCATGCTACTAACTCTCCAAACTAACATAAGAATTACAGTCTCTAATAACAACCAATACACATTACCAAAAATCAAGGGAACTGGGAACGAAATGACAACCTTTACTATTGGCTTATAAAAATATATATTAGGTGGGTCAATAAATCCTATACGTCTTGTACACGGCACATGCAGTATAGAATCAAGCTTTCAAGATTCCCCTTCCAGCAGGAGAGGTTGGTGCAAATGCCTAAGAAAGAAAACTTGTAGGTTCTGCTGGGACAGAGCAGAAAGCTTATTTTTTTGCTCATCCTCAATCTAACCAAAGCTATTATGGTTAAGACTGGAACAGTCTGCACTTAATAAGGACAGCCAAAGCTTTTGAGCAAGTAATCAATACTAGGGGATGGAGAAAGAACGGAATGTCTCCTGCTTCTCTCTGCCCCATTCTCATTACCTCCCAATTTGTCCCACATCTTTTAAAAAGACACGTGAGACCATTACAACATAAAAGCTGCAGTTCTGTGCACTCTTTTTCACTGGGAATAAGCTCCACTGAGTACATACTTTTTATTTCTGAGTAAATATGCACAGGATGGTAATGTAAATCCTGTATTTGAAGCCTAAAGAAGTTAGGATAAATAGAAATTCAGTTCAAAGTTTTATTAAGGCAGAAGCACAGTCACATGGAATATAAAACTGGAAAGATCTTTGATTCATGCAATGTTTGTGCTACTGGTTTTCCAAGCATTGAATGGTGGATCCGGAGTTTGAACTATCAATAGGCCTTATAATCTTAAGACTAGTTTCTTCCACTGTTCTATTCACTTCTCTGGAGCTTAAGTCAATAAAAACACTTTGGAACTCAAATTTGTTTTCTTCCATTGACAGAAGTAAATGATAAAAGTTCAGCTTGATCTAAAGATTAATCACTTAAAAACTGAGACTCTCGGAAACTATTCCAATGAAGCTAAATTAAGATGCTGACCAACTTCAAAATACAACTACTTCTACATCATGTGTGTGTATGTGCCTTCAATTCGCCAGTTGACTTATGGCAACCCCATGGATTTCATACGGTTGTCTTAGGAAAGGAATATGCAGAAATGATTTTGCCAGTTTTTTTCCTCTGAAATATAACTTAGAGCACTTGTATTCACTGGCAGTCTCTCATCTGAGTACTAACCAGGGCTAATCTTCCTTAGCTTCCAAGATCAGAAAGAATCTGTTGTCTTTAAAATATACTCTACTGTAGTTAGAAAAAAAGCATTTACAGTCCAAAGCAGCATACATTGTACAATGAATTCCATTAAAGATGTGACCAGGATATAGTTGGAAGGGAAGACATGTAGCACAGCTTAACAGACAATTGATCTAACAATTAACAGTTATGAACAGATGATTTATGGTTGTTATGTGTGAATTCCAACTGATGACTATCACATGATTTTCCCAGTCAGATTTATTCAGAGGATATCGCTTTTGCCTGCTAAAGTGTGAACTTTTATGGGATTATCAAGGCTGAGAAGGGTTCTGAACCCCAGTCTCCCAGAGCCTTAGCGCAACACTCAAACTACTACATAATAGTGACTCATAGACTATGCTCATGCATGTGTTCTTTCTTTCTTGGCTGGACTAATTTCTCTACTGATTTTGTTCAGTATTAGTAAGAATCTGTAGCCTATTCTTAAAAAACAGTATAAATTTCATAAAAAGCAAGTGTATGCCCATCTGTGCCTTACCACATCAGTTTGTGATGGCGCCATTGAGTGGCAAATGTCATTTTACATCAGTATAGATAGGGTTCCAACTATCAAAAGTAATTCTCTCCAAATACTGTGTCCCATTAGGACAGATTATCCATTAGGCAAGACACTGCTGGGAGAGGAAAGCAAAACTAGGTTAGTATTTGTTCAGTAAACTGTATGTGATATAAATTTATGCTACTTATACATGAAAAACACAGGCATAGAGTTTTATCTCCTATCTTAAAACTGTTGTCGCAACTTGTCTTGAATGCAGCAAGGTGTCCTGAATTGGTTTGACAGGCAGCAGCTATATGAATTGAAAAATGACTGGTTAAGTAAATCCCATATGTAGAGAGTTAAATAAATATGAAGAATGGCTAAGTAAACTTTAAAAGCAAGAAATATTTGGGAAAGATTAATTGGGAAAATATATAATGGATTAATAGGCGAGGAAATTGGGTTGAAGTTGTTAGAAAAGATATGGGAAGGAGATCTAGGGCCTCTGATGGATCTTGACTGGAAAAGGGTTCTAAAGTGGAGACTGGTAAAGAATCTGTCAATAAGATTAAAAGAAAATGTGTATAAAGTCTTATAGAGATGGTATACCATACCGGTTAAATTACACCAGATGGACAGCAAGCAAAGTAACCTCTCCTGGAGTTGACGCATGCACAAAGGGACATATTTTCACTTATGGTGGAAATGCCCCCAGCTGAAGGGTTTTTGGAACAGTATACGGAAATAGGTAACATTAAACATGGCCTCAGATGCTAGGTTAGAATTACTAATGGATACCACAAAGCTGAACTTGGAAAGGGAAAAAAACGCACCAGTGATTATTTTACTCACAGTGGCGAGACTTATCACTGCAAGGAATTGGAAGTATCCAATCTCATGCTGGAAATATGGTATGGGGAGGTATGGAATGTAGCCTTAAATGATAAACTATAAATGGAAATGAGGGTGTTCAGGGAGGAATTAATAGATCAGAATTTGATTCATATTGGTTGGTTTTTATTAAATATATTTTAGAGAGTGATAAGGGAAAACAATACAACTTTGTTGAACAGGAATTTTGGATATGACATTTGTTTACTGGTTGACTCTTAAATTTTAGCAAAGGAAATGATACTTATTCAGGCCCTGGTGGTGAGGTTATGTGTTTGTAAAATGTTCATTGTTATGTGTTTTGTTTACACTGTAAGCTGTTAATGTGTGTGCATGTGCATGTGTGTGTGTGTCCTGAATGCCCAAGTCGTGATTTTCCAAAATCCTCCTCTCTCTTTCACCAAAGGGCGAAATTCTACTGAAATAAAAGAAAGTTACCATCAGCAACTGTCAACAGTCTTCTTAAACAGTTTCTGGGAAAGAATTATCCAGCCACTTCTAACTACACATGGGGATAGGATTGGACATGTAGCACTTCTCTGTTTTCTTTACTTTACTTACTTTACTTAAATATGGGAGCCTGGAATTCCTCTTTTATTATGGAGTGTGGCTAGTTTACATAGTATTCGTAAAAGGATTCTGTGCAGAAACCCATCGACACATTTCTTCTAAACAAGAGAAAGATTTACTGTGCACTTTGCAATATTTTTTTGTTTCTTATAGGAGCCACAGGAAACCATGGTAAGAATGGGATAAAAGAGAAAAGGAAAAATGAAGGAGTAAAATTGGTGCTCAGAAAGGAAAATGCATGGTGGGGAAGAGTTCAAAAGGATGCAAGGCACAAGATGAAAAACAACAACAGAAACAACATTCCAATCCTTATACTACATGAGCAGGTTTCAGTCAAGGAGAAATAACATATTTTCTATTTCTTACGTTTCAAAAATCTTTCCCCATCCCTCATTTTTTAGTCAGAATTTTCCAAAATTCACAAACATTTTCATATTTAGAACAGAAAGAACTGAAGTGCAATAAACCACTTTAAAGCAAAGAAGCCAAAATTGACAGATTTTGTCTATCTAACACAGTGGGTCCCAACCTTTTTTTTGACCTGGGACCATTTGACCAGGGACCATTTTGACCAGAGACCACTTTGACCAGGGATCAGTCTCCAACATTAGTACCAAAGGGGTTACGAATTGGTTTTTGGCCAACTTTAGATTCAGTTTAGTTATTTGGGGTGCTGAGTCAGAAAATTGCATTGGTTAGACTACACTGGCTCTAGTTTATTAATCCTCGGCACTAAAAGAGGGTTTTGTGAGACCAGTTGCTCTTGTTGCAACAGTGTAGTAATGGTGAGGCCGTGGACCATATTTTAGATCTTGCCGACCACTGGTGGGAACCACTGATCTAATGCTTTGACATTTTCATTTCAAAAGTCTAAATTTCAATCTAAAAGTATTCAAAAATACAAAATTTGTGCTGAATTAGTGTTGCCACTTCTTTCTGATTTATTGAAGTTGGTCAGAGGAGATGAGTGAGAATTTCAGTTCATTTCATTTCAGTTCTCCATATCTGAAGAATTTACCAAATTTCACAAATCACTTTTTTAGAACAGAAAGAACTTGGAGGTTCTGAGAATTCAAGTACAGGAGAAAGCAAAACTTTTTTTATTTTTCCAGCCCCCAGTATCTCAAAATGAAAGTTTCAGATAGCAGGTAATCTGCTATCCAATTGTCTGCTCTCTATCTTCCTATCCCTGGGGCCCTCTGTTCTTTGGAAACCAGGACAGCACTGCTATTCTTCTAATCAGAGTTACTTGGGAGTCCTATCTGTGCATCCTGTGAGGCACCGTGTGCTATGATGTTGTCTTATTTTTGCTGCAGGTCCCTACTTTCCTTCTTATGATAACAATGCCAAAAATAGTTTGCTTGGAGAATATTCTAACTGTGCCATGTTCTAGAACAAAGAACTTGCTGACATGAAAGCTCACATATCATTAAATCTCTTTTTTTTAAAAAACCCAGCAGAGCTGGTTCCCTCTTTCTTGCTAGCCAGTTTCCTCATACAAAGACAAGTAAATCTACCCTGAGTTCCAGTTTCATGTCATGGTTAAAACAATAGTCCTAATTAGTGGTTGATTATGGTTTCCGCTAATAAGCAGGGCCAGTTTCAATTTTTGCAGTCCACCATTATTTGTCAATTCACCTGCCCTTCTACTTTGAGCAAATCTTCATCTAGTGGAGTTGCCTATCCTACTCTTTGTTCTCGTCTCCTTTTGTATACTTTGGGAGAGGGTATGAACAAGCAATAACAGTAAGAAAGAGTGGTGAGGGTTCTTTCGATCAAGTTCGGTCAAGTTCAGGATTTTGAAGCATGTGGGAGACAGGGAACCATTCTATAATGCTGACTGCAAGGAAGTAGAAGATACCCCAAATGTTACGTGGTACAGAAATCAGATCTCCCTCTAACTGCCGCATTGAAACTCTCACTGCATCCAATAGAGGTATAAAGGCAGTGGCAAGAGAAGCTTCCTCTTTGTACAGGTTCATTGGGCATCAAGAAGATGGGCGACGGCATGGGCAGGAATGATACAGCTCAGGCAGAAGAGCTGCCATTGCTATGTTCTGCTGCAGCACATATGTTTATCCTAGTGCATTATCCACAATATAAATTCAAAATATGTGCACTGAATTTTTGAAACAAGCCAATTGTAACTAATGAAAAACAAGGAATAATTTGCTAGGATACGAAAGAGTATTTAGGTATGAACAGGGGCTCGAGCACGTTCTCTATGGGGTTTCTTCCATGCTATATCAAAAGCCATTTGCCATGTGGAATATAAAAATCTACTTTTCATAAAACATGAAGTCAAAATCCCCTGGGACACACAGAACCAGTTCTTTAGAAATGTTGGCCTTCAACCCAATAATTATATAAGAAGTCTAGTTCATTTATTTTCTAACAAACTGAACATTTAAAAATGCAAGCCTGCAAAGTCCCTGAAACTGTCTTATACTGTCATTACAAATAAAAAGCAGCCTAGACCCAAGGCTATGATCTGCAAATAGCAAAAGTATTCCTAAGATGCCACCCTCCTTTTGCTGAATAGTTAGCATGCAGAAGAGAGTATCACGATACCTGCCCCGAGCTCAGATATACTTCAAGACATGGAAAAATAGAGTAGATGAGAGGAGCCCAGTCTCCTCCTATGGCCATGGGTGTCTGGACCAAGGCCTGAACCGCATATGCAATGGAAATGCCCTAGACAGAATGATGCAATAGACCTCATCATTAGGCCATCTATAAAACACATATTATGAATTGAACGAAATGCAATGATTTTTTGCTACTTCAGACTAGAGCTGTGACTAAATACCAGGAATGGTTAATCCAGCTCCCTGAACAAATAAGAAAGGCACCAAGAACTCAAGTAATACTATTCCAATTATATGCACAGTCCAAGTCAACACCAAACATTATACTTCACATGTTTCTCCTTCAGTTCAGCAGATCTGACATTAGCTAGAATCAAATGTGAGGCCAATGATGGCTGATAGGAGTTCCCCAAACACAGATACTCAAGAAAGATGGTGTGACGCATTTAGATTAGAGATTTTCATCTGCTTCTGCTCTGCAGAGTCAGCTTTTAACAAGCAGCACCAGAGACTACAAACGCAGCTTTGCCACCAAGTGCCATCAAAGGACTGGTGTAGAGACAAGAGATTTGGTCATTTTGCAAAGCAATGAAAAATAGTAGCAGTAGTAAGTAGAAAGGACAAGAAATCTATTAGATATAGGGGTCTTTCTGCTTCTTTGGCAGGGACATTACGGGTGGGGAAACAAAAGAAAATCAAAGGATAGAGGGATAACTCTAGACTTATTGTCAGTTCTCTGATAATAAGGGCTCCATCCTTACAGAGAGCAGAAAAATCAATAAATATGATAATAGCAATCATGAAGAAAACACATTTTGCACCTTCAGATTCGTAACATCTATGTAAGAACACAGATATAAGTATAAATCAACCCATAACTACTGTTTGAAAAGTCAAAGACTTTCCACTTGGGAGTAAAAAGTTCAGCCATTTCTGAATCTAACTTTGGGACTTCTGTTTAGTTTTCTGAAGGGATCGGTCATTCCCATCATCACATACTTTTTTACTGTTTGGAACAAAATGACAGTCCCCAAATCCTTAAACATTACTGTTCATTCACACTATCAATTTCTTTTAATGTTGGAGACTCCTGTCTTACCGCTTTGATTTATTATTGTACAATCTAGATCAAGGAGCATGTTTTAATGTGGTGCTGGTACATAACTAGAGAGAGAAAAGTGCACATTATGACCATCTAGAGTAAAACGATGATCTTTCTCAGCTTAGTATCTATTTAATATATGGCAAAGTGAACATGCAAAGTTGCACAAGAAAGTACAAGGAACTGCACACTATAGATAAACAATATGATTGAGGTTAATCTGATTAATTTGGGCTCAGGCAACTATTGCATTTTTGTAGGGCAGACTGAATTCTAACCAAAATATGACATGCATATGAATTTATATTTGGGTTTAGACTACAGCAGAAGAGAGAGTTCATCTCAAAATTAAGGGATTTCTCCTAATCGTATGTCTGAATCACAAGTAAACATAATCTAGAATACGCTAGAGGTAGATGGTGATGCAGCAAAATGGCTACTGAAGCAACTACGTGGCATCATTCCTATTCTGGCAAGCAACTCTGTAAGAAGAAGCAGTAGTTCTAAGAAAGATTTCTTCATGAAATTGAGGTAATCTATTTTTTTATTTTTAAATATTGATCCTGCAAAGAAACGATTCTCCATTGCCATCCACCTAAGAAAAGCACCAGTGATATGCAGTCCCTCTAAATAAGCATTGCATGTTCATGCCCATCCATCAATAATAGCCATAACAGATTCTCTTTTCATATTCCTCACCGAGGGACAGGAGAGAAATATCATAGATAAAGGCCACACCCAAACAACCAAATGACTACCAGATACCAGTTTAAAATCACTCAGAGAGACTGCGTCATAGTTTTTTTTTAACTGTGGGGCTCAAGATGTGGGATTATGCTTTATAAGCATACTTTTTTTGACAGTCTATTAGAAAAGAAAGGCAGGAAGAGAGATCTCAGGACTATTCTCCTTGCAGCATCAGAAAAAGCTGACAAAGCCCTATACTGTTGGTTTTATCTTAAATACAACATGGAAATTAACAGCAGCAGTACTGCAAGCTCTGAATCTACTCTGCCAAGAACAAAATGGCCAGGGGTGCCATTACCTCCAGCTATATTCTTCTGCTATTAGCTGGGGTGGAAAAAAAACATACACAGACACTATGATCATGATTAATGTATTTTAATATGGGGGCTTTTGATTTCAGTTTCTTCCTCTCTCAATATCCCTCTGTTTTTGTTCCTGTCTTCCACCTTCTCAAGGAAATAACAAAGTCAAACTCGGTTGCGTCACAACTGAAAACTAGGGAAGGAAAAAAGCAACATTAGGAATCATGCCCATCTGTTCCTTTAGACACCAACAAAATCATAAACAAAAGTTGTTCCTGACTCATAGTCCTGTCTACTGTGAGGCTCAGTGTACTTCACCCAAATTGTGGAGTGCTAATGCAATGGAATGGTCCCAGGGCTACTAGGGAGAATTCTGGCCTCAGAAAAACAGCAATATGAAAAATATCCTACAGTTCTCAACTTCCCTCTGGTGCAGATCATATCATGCCCACTTTATGGAAAACACAGGCAAGCAAAAATCAACAAATTAGCTCAAGGTCATGAATCCAAGCCAAAGAAAACCTGGAGCCACACAAATTATGTACATTTCAAACACATATATTAGCCAAGCTCATTTACCTCTGATGCCATTGTATTAATGACTCCAGCTGCACAGGACGGACAACCATTGCTTTCCCTATGAAACAAAAGAAAAGTAATGCCTTATAGTCTCCATATCGCAAATATTCAGATAGCCATTGTATGAGCAGCTATTGCTTGCGGTAGCACATGTTAACAAGAACTAATCCAGTTCTAAAACAACGACAATGAAAAACAAACACATCCAGGCTTGGCAAGAAACACAGAAACCAGGAATAAATCTCCAAAGCTTTCTCTTAGATATTCAGAACATTACTGATTCTGTAGAATTAAGTAAGGCAAAGTAATGTTCCATCTGTATTCCTCATTTACAAATCCAGACAACCCCACCAACGCAACCCTCACCCCCAATATAATAAGGTACGCCATAACAGAACTCCAGGTGTTAAGAAGGAGATATGCAACCCCTAGTGGCCATCCCTATAACACACAAAAATGTTTAATTAGATGGCGTCGGTAAAAATGAATTTTAACCCAGACCACTGATGACCTACCCAGCTGCGTTGTATTTTCCTTGTTCCTGCTGGAAATAATCACGATCTCAGCCAACATCCATTGCTTCCCCAGAACAGTCACTGTACTTGTGTCTCCAGTACGTCTTCCTCTATGGATCTAGCACTGCAGGACAGATGCAAGACTGCCCTGGAGAAGAGAGCTCTGCAGGACAAGGGCTCACTGGGAAGCAGGGGGAGATATTGCACCTAGAATGAGAGAATTTCACATTAAACAAAATAATTGGCTAAGGAGAACATAAAAGAAACATGGAGGCAAGTATGAAACAACAGAATGGGCAGGGTCTATCTGCCACGTCTCCTTCTTTCTCCATTCCATATAACGTCTGTCACTAGAAATGGCTTCCTGGTATTACTCCTTCCCCGTTTTAGCTAGTGAATGAGAACAACAGACTATGCGCAATCGCTTTTCTTGGGGCTTTCAAAGCCTGCTGGCAAGTACACATCTTATAACAACACTTGAGAAGACAGAGTACTCAAAAAGAAATCAAGATGGAGAATCAAAATGCATCTGATTCGGTACCAAAGCCAGCAAACTGCTGCCGAACGACTGGCTCTGCACTTGACTCTCTCGGTGCCAGTGAGTCACCCACATGAATCCTTATACCATCATAAAACCTTCCACTTGCTGGAGCGTTTTATGAGAAAGCACCACAAGAAATAAATCCTTCCATGGTTTGAAATAATGCAAGTTATTCCCAATTTCAATGTAGGCTCCAAAGAGAAGAGAATATAGATCTTAAGTTTACAGAACACAATCACCTATTTTCTTTTTGGTTGAAATTGGCTTAGGGACGACCCAGAAAGAAAAGGTGAGGACACAGTTCATTGAACGGTTAAAGCAAACACCATGCCCCCTTTAGCTGTTCACCCTAAATGCCTAGTGCCCGCTACTTTCTTCCCAACTGATCTGATTCTATTTTTCTGGACTGCCCAGATATCTTTCACCGGCCATCTTAGAAATCTCAGTTGCCTCATTTTAAAAAACCAAAAAGAGAGAAATCAACCCACCTATTTCTTACCACTAAGTTCTGTTGCCATTCAATCCAGTAACAACCCTGGCTTTGCATTTAAACTGATGTAAACTAGGACACATTTCAGGGTATAGCTCTGCTTGGATTTTTACAGATACACCAGTGAGAGGGACTCTCCCTGCCCCAAAGAGTTTGCAACAGAAATAAATGGCTTGAGTTTTTTCCACTCACAGACAGAGGTAGACACCGCAAAAGTCTCTTTTTGTTTTCTCCTCTGAAGCCTATAATAATGTCACGTCATCGTGGCTGGTCTTACAGCAGCCGGAAATACGCCTGTCACTGATGCAACCCAAGTCACAGAATATTTGTTTTTCCTTCTGCGTCACTTGCACCAGTAATAAAACTAATCCACAATAGTCAAGTTCCTGCTTCTTTTTTTTGGTTGTGTTTTTTTAAAAATAGCACAGACCCGTTCCAAAACAAGGGAGGAAAAGGAGGGGAGGGGAGGTGGAGAGAAAGAGGAGGTGGTGGAGGGAGGGGAAAAAAAGCAAACAGACAATATTTTAAGTCACGAAGTGTTCTGAACCCCCTTTAAAGCAAGAGGAATGGAACATTTAGATTTGATATCCTGACCCCAGCCAATCGGAGGCAGCTTTTCACCTGCCAGGGGCTTTTCCTCCAATGGAAATCTGTGTTTAGAAGGAGAGCCCTCCCCAGCCAATCATGTGCCGGCTCAGGCACTCAGTTAATGATGCAGCAGTACAGGGAAGACTATCACATGTGAGCTGGAAGGCTGCCAACATGGAGACACGGAGAGAGCAAGGTAAACAACTTTCCAACGCCAAAAGGATGACATTTAATTGCTCAAGGCTATCTCCCCTTCCTAATTCAGACCTTCCCTCAGCTGCTCTAGGGAGTTACAGTGTACCTGCCCTCCCTGGTGCTTTTTGAAAAATCCAGAAACATGCCAGGAAAGGATCACTGCGTCATCACTTGCCACTTTCTGAACTATGCAGATACAGGCTTCTCAGCTTTAAAAAATATCCAGACTCATCTGGTTCACCTTTCTGCCAACTCTTTGTTATGCCCTGGATTAAAAGTGGGACAAAAGGAACAGAGGGTACTGGTGGCAACACTGGCAAAGTCCTGCTCTCCTTTCCTCCTCTCCTCAAAGCTGCATCAGCAACTACGCAGTGGCATTTTCCAACCTGTGCTTTCATGCCGATGATCTGACGCAGGACACAGTAACATTATTGAGACACCAAAAAATAATGAGGCCGAAAGTTTGGGGGACCAGGGACGAAAAGGAACCTTTCTCCGAAACACACATATAACACAACCAAACAATCAGTTCAATAACTCCCCCCACCTCCACCCTCGATCGAAGGATACGTACGTAGGGCAAAAGGAACCATAAGATCTGTTCGTCTACACCTGTATGCAGTCCTCAACCCTCTGTTTGCTCCGCCGCAGCACCGAACATTCGAGAATTTTCCTCCTATTAACCCTTCCTACACCTGACCCCCCCTTCCCGGCGGGATTAACTGCGTTGCATCTTTCCGGTATCATTGCTGGACGAAATCTGCTGGTACTGAACAAGCTGGCAAGTAATATTTCTTTTTTGGTAAGAAAAGCCATAGAAGAAGATGCCGGAGAGGTAAAGGAGCTATGCTTCCCCGTGTTGTTATTACTTCTCTTTCCTGATCTCTCTCTCTCTCTCTCTGTCTTGCTGCAGCAAGGCTGTTGCTAGTAGACCTATCGACAGAGCTTGCTCTCCTTCACTCACTCCCTCTCTCCCCCTCTGAGCTGTGTGACGCAGCTCAAAATTCTCCACGCTGCTCCTTGTGTTTTAACAGCAGAATTGCAGCTCTCCCCAGAGAGCCGATGCCAGCAGTGCCAGGGCTGGACAAACCAAGAGAGAAAGTCACTCCCTGGGCTAAGCACCCAAGTTATTTATATCCTCGTGTTCCCTTCCTCACCTTGGCTTCTTTGCTTCACTTCCAAGCTTCCTCTTTTTCCCCTTATGTTCGCAGCATCAGCTTCTTGCAGCTCCTTTATCGTTACACTAACTACGTGAACTCTTTTAGGTGAGATAAGCACAGCTCAAAAGAGAAACAAATGTGCATGTCCTTTCTCCTTCCTTCCATTGACAGAAAACGAAGCAAACAAAAAGATGATTATTATCATTGCTATTCCAGTCCTTGAGAAAAAGCAATGAGCTGTGCAGCGTTCTCACTGTTCTATTTGGAACGACAGAAAAGGGCATTTCAGTTCTGAAAAGACAGCGTCTCTCTCTCTCTCACACACACACACAGGCATGCATGCCTTTTAATTTTTCCATTACTTGTGTAACCTGCAAAATATTTGAGAACGTCCCCATTCTACTCCAGTCCATTTTGACAAAAAAGTAGGGGCAAGGAAGAAAGGATGGAGTATCTTTTTCCCAGGAGCAAGCAAAACTAGAATTTCGATGTCAGTGACTCTGCAGGTCTAGGGCAGTGGCAGGGCTGTTTGGGCCTTAGGAAAAGTTTCAAAACCCCCAGCTAATCACTTCAACATGGCAGGACCTAAGAGCGGCAAATGCTTTCCCTCCAAAATGTTCCTGAGGCTTTGGATATTTGATCCTCTGAGAACTAGCCATGTGTTAACCCTTTCCGATCTATTGATAAACTTATCCTGAGGTTAAAAGGGCTGCCCGAAACTGAGAAGAAACCATTAGGGACACTTAAGGAAAATGAGCATGACAAAAGGATGCAGCGTGAGGAGCAATGAATGAGAACAATTACATGAAAGACCACATTCTTTGGTCTGTAGGAACAAGTGATAGAAATAAAATAAACAAACCCTGTGAAGATTGCCCTTAAACAAAAACACAGGGTAGTATTATACTTTGCCCTGGAAATCTTTGACTGCTCTTTGGGTTGTTGCTTTCATTGCTGTTGTTATATCCAGTGATTCTTCCCCTGTTCCTTTTTTCCTTTTTCTTTATAGAGCTATTTTAGAATACTTCACTGCCTGAAAGTGACATCTGTTGGGCACAGATGCATGCAAGAACAATTGCAAAACTTCCAGAGCTCAAAATGCATGGGAGGGAAAGGCAAACAAGAAGAACAGGGTAGGAGTACAAGGCACTTCCATGGCTGCAAGAATTTTGGTGGAATTCCCTTTATGTCTAACTAACATTTCACACTGTCTGCTCTTTCCCATTAAAAAAAATCACATTTGCATATCTCTGTTGTTCATATATATGGATTTGCCTTCATTGTGTCAAATGGCACACCAAATTAATCCAGGTAAGAGACTGGGGACTGACATTTGGATATCTGAATGCTGCCTTTTGCCAGGAAAATCTTTTTAATAGCACTTTATTGTATCAATAAACAAAAACAAGTAAATAGAAACTAAGAACCATAATTAATGCTATCACACAAAAAAACAAAACAAAAAGCAAAACAATGTAAATAAAACCTAGAAGAAAAAAAATTGAAGTATGCATGGCAAATCTTTGTATAGGGCTTGCATTCAAAAACTTTCAACAAATATAGAACTCCCTGATACAGATCTCAGAAAGAATGACTCTCTGCAAAAATCAGGACTGCAAGAGTTCCCCAGATCCTCCATTTGAGGAAGACTAGAACACATCTGCGCCAGAAGAAAATGACTGCCGTGCCTTCACATGTCTTACAAGCACAAACTGTTCCCAAAAATGAAATGTGCCCACATATTTCTTTATTCATAACTATGGTGCAACCTGTAATGTACAAATTATAGGGTAAAAGGTACTACAGCATTCTTTAGAGCTGTAACATAAGAGAATGCCAGCAACAGTATTGGTAGAACAGTATTTAGAACGAAGGATCTAAGTAGACATGCGGTACCCATCTATGACCAAATTATTTCAGACATTCAAGTGAAAGCACATTTGCACTTGGCCACAGAATATATATCTCAATGTACTTCTCAAACAGTCACTATTGGGCAGGCCCCTAACTGTGATAAGGTTCATGTCAAACTGTGTGGTTTGGCCCCAAATTATCACTGCGAGGTCCAGAAATTATTTCCTTTTAGAAATCTAAAAAGAGACAGGGTAGTCAGTTGTGAAGTATAACTGCCTTTGTCCTCCTGTGCAGAAACAGTTGGGAAGACTGCTGTTTCAAAAGGCAGTATCTTCCACACCCCCTTCCTCAGTATTACAGAATGTCTACTTTTCTTCTCAGCATGGAAGTAAAGTCAAGAAGATCAGCAGCAGTCTAATGCTGAAAGTGCAAACAGTATAGAAATGAAGTGTACTGCTGAAGTCAAACACAGAAAATGAGCCATGATTGTTTTTAAAAAGATGGTATAGAAATTCCAATAATTGGCCAAAAAGCTGCATCCCTGAGAATTTTTCAGATTTTGTCTGAAAAGGACCGAAATCTGCAGAGAGATGGAGAATGATCTGCATGCAATTGTAGACTGACAAAATGTATCATTTAAAAAGCACAACACGTTTTGGCCTCCAACAAATAGGTTGGCCATTTTTTGGCCTGCAGGGAAGAGGGGGGAAGGGTAATTAGATCACCAACAGAAATTTCCGAAATACACTTTATCCATTGACTGGACTGAAAAGTAACCGAGCACTGAAATCACCACAGACTGACCTGCTCAACAAGAACCAGCAGGTCCAGATAGGACAGAAGGCAAATAAGCAAACATATTGATATCTCTTCATTATCAAGAAAGCGAAAAGACATGCCCGTAATTCTGATTCTGGTTAAACAATGAAACAAGTCAATACAAGAAACAACATGCTTAATACAGAGGCTCTGCTGCATGAGCCACGCTGAAGTTAAGTTTTGCTGCTTCTTCCTCTTTGATCATAGAGCGGAACTGGTTCACACATGGTGAAGTTGGTAAGGAACAAATCAGATAATGAGAACTGGCATGTCACCATGATTCCAGCATCATGTACATAGGGCTGAATTCACATGCACCCCAATTCACCTGTATTTGGCATGATTACCTATCAGTATGCCTACAAAAGACAGTTTAATAACCACAGGGATTCTGTGGATTACTACAAAGGGCTGCCTACTTCTGAAAAATGGTAACTCAAACTTCAGTTTACATTGTTTCCCACACAAGTTCCTTATAGGTACAGGAAACGACAGTGGTTAACATCATACTGAGGGCCATTTTAAAACAGAACTCCAAGCTCAAATAGAACCAAGGGCATACGCACCACCAAATAATTTCATTCCCAGGACCGCTGATTCTTGCACAAGTTCTTGAACCATTTATGGAATGTTGGCCTGATGAATTATTGGTTGCAGTCAAAAAGCACAAAGAGGCTAAGAAAAATAATGTTTTATAAATTTAAAAATAATAACAATAATAAATAACAATTATATAGCTTCTTCAAAATACAATATATTTTGTTTTTTGAAAAGCTTTTAAGACAATGCCACTCCATTGGCTGGTGGCAGTCTATGAGTCATCAGTTGCCAGTTCTTGGATAATTTCCAAGAAAGAAGGGAACACCAAAACAAGATTGTGCCAGTCTCTGGACCACTGGAGAAAAATGCTAGCTCTCTCACATCCAACAGTTTAAGAAGCACTGTTCTAAGACATATTCTAGTTATCCATTATTGTTGTGGATATGGGTATCAATTACTTGAAGAACTCATTGCATGGAAAATAATAAGTTTCTAAAGCCATTTATGGTGTATGCAAAATCCATGTATGGTATTTTTTTGTAACCGTCTGGTTTATAAATCTGCATCCAGTGTTTGAAAACTTTATTGGTCTAGACAAGGAATATGTATCTATTTTTGGGTGATGGACCTTCTGTGAAAAATCTGATTAAAGCTATGGAATCTCTCCAGAAAAATATATATACACAAAAATGTACACAAAGTGTACTATTTTTTTTTGTAGTAGAAACTGATTTTCTTTAGATAGACTAAAATGTGAAAAGTTATAATGGATACTTGAAAAGGCTAAATTTGTAGCTTAAAATTCACTATGGTGGGGGGGGGGGAATCTAAGATAACAGGAAGGAAATAAAAGGAGAGGGAGTTTTGTGTATGCAGAATCTATACATGGACTTTCCAGGATCTTTGGATCACATGGTAAGAGGCCCTAGTCCAGAATGCTTGGATGGTTAATGGATTTCAGAGAAATTAGAAAAAATATTCCAGTTCTAAATTGGTTTCTAGTTGGTTTCTCAGCCCAATTCAAAGTATTCACTCTCATCTTTAAAATCTCAAATATTCTGGGATTACTATCTCTTAAGATCAACTGTTTCCAATATGAAATAATCAAACACTGATATTTTCAGAGGTTGTTATTCACATGCTTCTGCTGCCTGAAGTGTGATGGTGGCCATATGGAACAAGTCATTTTCAACAGTAGCACCAGAATTACAGAATTCTCTATTGATGAATTGCCACTTTGTCTCTGATCTCCTGGCTTTCTGACCTAAGGTTAAAGTGGTGCTTCCTCAATACTTTTTGACTATGAAATATACATGCTATTTTATTTTACTGGCTAATCAGGTAGAAACATATTATTTTTGTCTAGTGGCTTTTTAACAGCCATTTTATTGTACTGTGTAAGCTTCGCCAGAGTAAACAGTCATGGTGGATGAAAGAGCAGGATACCCATGTTTAAACAAAGAAAATAAACACATTAACATTAATCAATAGTTCATTCACTGTATTCAGTAGTTGTATCAAAGCTTGGGGAATTTATTTTCTACTGCAACTACCAGAACATTCACATCACCTTGATTATGGTTTTTCTGGGGACTATAGTTCAATATGTAACTTTTCTGAGTCATTATGGTACCTAATTTATAGAGCTGCTTACTCTAGAACAGCGGTTCTCAATCTTCCTAATGCTGTGACCCTTAATACAGTTCCTCATGTTGAGGCGATCCCCAACCATAAAATTATTTTTGTTGCTACTTCATAACTGTACTTTTGCTACTGCTATGAATTGTAATGTAAATATCTGATATGCAGGATGTATTTTCATTCGCTGGATAAAATTTGGCACAAATACCCAATATGCCCAATTTTGAATATTGGTGAGATTGGGGGGGGGGGGTTATTTTGTCATTTGGGAACTGTAGTTCCTGGGATTTATAGTTCACCTACAATCAAAGAGCACTCTGAACTCCACCAACTATGGAATTGTTAGCTCACAGAACTCCCATGACCAACAGAAAATACTGGAAGGGTTTGGTGGGCACTGACCATGAGTTTGGGAGTTGTAGTTCACCTACATCCAGAGAGCACTGTAAACTCAAACAATAATGGATCTGGACCAAACTTAGCACGAATAATCAATATGCCCAAATGTGAACATTGGTGGAGTTGGGGAGAATAGACCTTGACATTTGGGAGTTGTCGTTGCTGGGATTTATAGTTCACCTACAACCAAAGAGCATTCTGAAACCCCACCACCGACAGAGTTGGGCCAAACTTCTCACACAGAACCCCCATGAACAACAGACAATACTGTGTTTTCTAATAGTCTTTGACAACCCCTCTGATCCTACCCCCAGACTCTCAGATTGAGAACACTGCTCTAGAAAACTTGTCAAGGGCAAACCTGCTACTTTTCAAAGGCTAATTAAATGTTTCTTGTTTTAAGCAGTAGAGCAATTGAAAAAGCAATACAGAAATTTCTGTCTTGCTTTTTCAATTGATCTACTGCTTAAAATGGTTTTCCTCAACTGTATTTTAATTTCTGCTTCCTGTTTATTGTACTGTTTCAACAACCTTTATATTGCTAGTAAACAGAACCTAGATACTATTATTTAAACAGATCTGTATATAGATATATAGCTGCAGTACCCTAAAGGCACTATCAGATCCCATCTGATTGTAGAAACTAAGCAAACTCAGCTCTGGTTCATACTTGGATGGGAGGCTACCAATGAACACTAGTTGCTGTAAGTTATATTTCAGAGGAAATAACTGGAAAAATCACTTCTAAGTATTCCTTGATTAAGGGAACCATCTGAAATTCATGGGTTCACCAAAAGGCAACTGAAGGTGCCTACACATAATATACAGAGATAGATATATAGATACACAAACTACAAAGTATTGCACTACATGATCATAGCAGCAAGAACAGTATAATCACAGTTCTGGAAGAAGGTAGACTTCCATACAATAGAAGAATGGATAATTAAAGTCTTTAAAATAGCATAAATTTACAAATTAGCAATGACGAACG